GTATTCCAACCAATTCCTCATCTCTCTTTACATCATAATAGTAATCATTTGTTATAAATTCATGGGTTAATGAATTTCTTCAAAGCAATCGTCCCCATACTGAAACACCGATATGTGTAAAACATGTTAATCCCTACATCTCCGAGGTGCATAATGCAATTACTGTAGACATAGACCTAAAATTATTAGTAATTACTGAAAAATAAGAGCTAAAAAGAATTATAAATTGTGATAAAATATTGGTGGTTAAGGTTTTTGACTGGTGACTGGTGGGGATGCAATATAGGGATGGCGACGATAGAGAAAGATTTTCCCCTGCCGGCCCTTGACATCGTTTCGAAATATGAAATTCTGGAAACGCTATAAAAATAAAAATGAATACACAAAGCCTACTTGCCTATTTCAGACAAAAACAAAAACACATAACGATTGTCACCTTGACATCATTCTGCAATCTGTCAAAGTAGTGATGGGCGTGCCTGCTGCACGGTATACGGTATCGATATTCGATGACATATTTTTCTTTCTACCATGAATGCGTGGAAAAAACAAAATAAGGAGAGATCTAAAATAAGAAGTTATGGCCTAAAATAGCCAGGCGCTAATAATTCCTGGCCGTATTTCTAAGCATGGCACACTAAAACAAAAATAAGACTTGGAATTAATAAAGTTTATTTCGACAGTTGGCAGAGTTTGCTCCACTGGGACTGGGACGAAGTGTTGACGGATCCCACAGAATTGTGTCACTTGTCGATATGGTTAGTTTTAAAATATCAGGGGATAATCAGCTGTTATTCAAATCAGTGTATATGTTTTGCGATTCAAATAACGTCTAATATAAATATAACCCAGAATATGTACTCAGTGCAATAAGAAAGTTATTGCAAATTTCTAGTTTTTCTGCAGGTTTTAAGTTTGCCGGGAGGTTTACGACATATGTTTGAGTATTTGTTGATCGCTGTGAATTTAGTGTGCATGTTTGTTAAATTCCTGAACAACGAAAAATATTCAACTTGGTCTATGGATGTATGGATATTAAAAAACAGAATGGTTTTGTGGGAATATCAATGTAAGGTGCCATAATGGTTCTGATGAACGGCAAGTAAATGAATGAATGTTTGGAACGAGCAATATCTATGAACTGCCAGTCATCAAGTAGGTGCTTAAAGGCTATCTGCAACAGGTTTATAGGAAAAAACACCCAGTAGATGATCTTGAATCAGTAAAATCGCATATCAATTGAAGAAAATAATATTATCATGAATAAAAAATCAACAATGGTAATTAAAACATGAATTTAATTCAAAAATCAAACATTTCTTAAAATTTTGACTGAATTATATGTAATTTCTTAATATTCAATAAGCTGATGATGTTTCAATGACAAGATGTCATCTCATACTTTGACAGTATTTTGTTTTCAACATTTCATAGCTATTGGTTGCTAAAATTTGTTGATTGGAACTTGAGGCTCATTCGCTGTATTTGACGGGCTGTTACCCTATAGGTGGAGAATAACGGACTGTTGTTGGTGAAATTGGCCCTAAATATATTTTGTGCTTCATAATTAGTATTGGATTTTATTATTCTGAACCTCGTTCTTGGCAAAACTGCTGAAAGGCATATTACCCTTATTGGGGACATTTTATGAATATACATACAGTATGTTTATGAAATAATCCAAAAACGAAATCTCCGGCTCATTCCAGGGGCATTCTCGGCATTTTTTCGATAGTTCCTCCAGATTTCCAGGCAAGTAAACGGCGCAACCATCGGACAAACGGTGTTGCGATCGTTTAACGTGCAGCTCCAACTTCTTCAGTCTTATGTGTTTTGTGGGAGCTGCTACGAGTTTGTTCATGTGGTTGTGACGTTAAAACAGGATTATCCCTTGCGGCCCACTGGTCTTTTAGGATGACCACCAATTCATTATCAATTTACTTGGGCCTGATTGTATTTTGACATAGCTACGATAACTACTGATGGTACGATGGTTTTATGCTACTGCCATCAATTTCTGTACTCGATAGAGCTCAATAATATCTATTATGGACGATTTCATAATAAAAAGATAAACCTGGCCACAAAGGGTTAGCGTGAAAATGCATAGCCTCGTATCGACCAAAAACTTGCGGCAAAGGAAATGTCCAACAACTCCTTCCAAGAACTGATCACATACTCGTCTGCTGGCGGAATTTCCAGAATGCACAGCGAGTCGGGGACTTCGACCGCTGTGGCCGCCATAGTTCCGGGCAACCGCCTCCCATCCCATCGGCTGCCCGCCCCCGCCTGCTTGCCACGATCCGGTCGGTGGCGGCAGTGGAACCGTCTCTATAGCAACGACCATCAGCAGCCAGCCCGGCCCGGGCCGTTTGTCTGCGGCGGCAGCGGCAGTTGCTAAGCAACCGGCGGCGGCGCGAGGTCTTTGCTCCGGAGACACAGTTTCGCAGACGCGCCGCCCCCACGAGACAGCACTCACAATGACATCTCTGTGTACCGGATGGCGTTACAAAGGTACATGCTCAAATGGAATAGGTAGTCCTTCCTTTTTTACTTCCCGCGCCACTGGCGAAGAAGTATTGTAATTTCGAAAGTGAGATGTTTTTGATAGTATATTACATCAACTTCTTGTTTTGCTTTGTTTTTGAAAATTGTTCCAGAGGCGACGGAGCTAGCGGCAAAAATTCAGATGTTTCAGAGGATTCTTTTTAGGAAAAAAAATTGGGAGTTGGTATTTGTATGAGGTGGGGGAGGGCACGTCTCGTTTCTTTTTTTTGCGATAATACATACATAATCGGTACTGTCATTAGGGCAGAAGAGACATTTCTAGATCACAACGTTTTCAAATTTGCCGGAACTATTTATTAATTGTATAGGCCTGGTTGACTTGATTTCACCCAATTATTTTGTTATATAGTACATATTCATAGCCGACCTCTTTCTCCGAGGGGCTAACTTGTGCCGAATATAATTATTAACTGAGGATGACAACGTTGCGTGGGAAGTATAGTCAGTCATATAATCATAGGAAAAAAAACGATTCAACGATTCGCGAAGCGACAATGACGCGTTAGAGATTTTTTCATAGTTCGACAAAATAGCAGATGACAAAGTGGCAGTTCATTTAAATATATATATATACATATATATATATACACATATATATATATATATATATATATACTATTTTCTTCCATATTTTGATTAGGGGGCAGCGGTGGCGTAGTGGTATCCGTTATAGGTCTACTAATAAATCGCCGTGCACTACACAGGTTCTAATCCCGACCCAAAAGAATGTTTGCCTTTTCTATGGATGTTGTGATTGTCCGTAGGTGGTAGACAGTCCCTGACTGTTGAACGTGGAGGTACCACCCGGCGGATCTCTAAGGCGGAGCCAGAATGTGTGCATGTTGCATGTACACGTGTTCCCTCGCTAGAGTCCGTGTGGCGTCCCCCCTTTCCCCTGTATCCCCCTATAGCCCCACGGTACCCAACGGTGTTTAGGCATTAGGCCTTCGTGGTGGTTCAAGTATTAAAAAACTTTTTTCCAACACCGTTCATCAAATCCAATATATTTACAAAAGTGACAAACAACGACAAGTCAGAAAAATAAAATTCTTCTGAGAAATTTGCTGAAGCGTTCGACATTTTCGTGCGAGAAATCTCGAATGCGAGGTTTTTAATAGACTTGGCTATCCCTTTTGATTTGACAAGTAGGTGATCCTTCTACCACTCAAAGCACAACAATCGAAAATAACATGTTTTGCGTTTTCTTTTGTCGCAATCTTCGAGGTTACGCTACATTAATGCCCTGAAGGTCCCCTCAGCAGTGTCTTGGACTAAGTATTTGGGAGTTTACTAGTTTTGAGACTTTTAAGCCGCTAAAAAATTTGACATTATAAAATTAGTAAAAACTTGACGGTTTCATAATTTTATTTTATGAGCTATCTAAACAAGTTTTTTTAGCGAGGTCAGAAAAAATTCGTAAAACATACAACAAAGATTATTGGCTTGTAAGATTTTCATAAAGTTCACAGCTCCGCTGCAGCTAACAAGTTTAAAACCCACACAGCGTTTTTGTATTTACCAGAGAAAGTTCTACATAATTCGCATGATATTTTGAAAGTCGTTGAGGGTCGAAGTACCACAGGAGAGGTAGACGTTAGTTAACAGCGACTGAAATATGTATTAGTTTTTTGTGATGTAGATGTCATACAACATCCAAAAAGATCTCCAATAATCCTTTCATCTATTGGTATATAAAATAAAGGTCAACGTTATTTATAGGAATGTTCTTGATCTTTTGGATAATGGTCACATCTCTCAGAAAAACCAAGAAGCCATTCAATATTTATTCCTGCTTCCCAAACGTCAATTGTAAATGCGGGCCGCTGCACAGCAAATATAATAATAGACCAGGTAGTATCTTCGCATCTGATGGAAAACATTCTGATTTGGATTCTTTGCATAATTGTATTTGGCCAGGTCCAAAATTGCGTCAAAATTTTTTTGAACTTTTTTTTAATCGAATCTCAAAAATTTGTTGTTCTCTCCAATCGAAGTATTTTTAGGACTTTTATATGGTTCTGATCAAAAAGGATGCTTAAGAATTTGATTCGAAGTTGAGTGTTTTCGATATAAGCGATACAATATTTAAAAAGTGCAAAATGTGCCATTTTTCACCCCGAAAAACAATAATTATGGAAAAATTAAAATTTTAATGTTTCCAAATTTCCTAAATATTCCACCATCCATTACCAAAGTCCCGTAACATTTCAAGAGGTGTTTTTGTAAGGAGAACATTACATAATAAGATTCAGAATATTTTTCATCAGATACGAATATACTACCCGGTCTATTTTATAGATTAGATTTAAACGATCTGTTTTTTGCTTATTTCCTACATACGGACGATTCACAATTCCGTAAAATGCAGAAGTCCAGTAAAGTGGAACGTGATAAGTGTGTGTAATAGAATCTTATAGCAGAAACACAGTAACCCGGTTTCTCGTTCTTCAGCTGTTCTCTGTTCAAACGCTGCACATCTGCAAACGTGGTCGCCAAATGTGGCGTTGATGATGCTTCACGCATACAATGATAATCGCGTCGTTTACTTTTTCCCAGTGACATGGCGCTTTGTCTCACGGATACATTAGAGAATCTGAAGGAATATGAATTGAAGATTCTTTTATTTAATATATGAAATTTAAATGAATCAGTCAGTGCAAAAACCACTTAAGTCAATTTCCTAATCTTTTCTTTCTTACGAGTATAAACATGCTTGTTTGTGCTCTTCAATACATCCATCTCCCTCAGACATTCAATCTGGGTCTGTGTAAGAACGATTGTTTGTGTAAGCTCAGTCATACCTTCTTTAGTTTCATCTCGCAACATTGAAAAATTTCTCAAACTAAAAGCATAGTGTATTCAACTTAGCCTCACAAAAAAGCGCACTGATAAATGCATAAAACGGCAGGTACATAAAAACAGTTGAAGTCACGAAAAATAAAAACTGGATCTCGTATTCTGTATCAGAACACAGAATTCACAGGATAACGGCAAAAATAAATACAGAGATTCAAACTCACGAATGAACTAACAGGTATATGTATAAATAAAATATAACACTTACCAGTTTATAAAAACAAATTAAACACTTATTCTCTAACGTTGCCAACTTGATATGAAATGTATAGTACTACCGGTATCCGGAATAAATATTATCCAATTGGAGGTTATCCGAGTATTTTAATAATCTTCTATTGCTACTATAATCTAGTCCATATTTGCTTTTCTATTTGTTGCTTTCACCATTTTTCTCTAGGAAGGTGATATAACCTATTTGATGATTGCAATCGTGTGTACGAAAAACTTGATGAATATTAAGGCTGCTTGTGCGAATAACTTTAGCAGATGTTATAGGAAAAGTTAAGAGACACAGTGGTTAAAGACGAAGCAGTATTTCCATGAATTGTGGAACTAACACAAACAGAATTAATGAATATACAATAAATATTATGTCTACATATAGCTAATAAAATCATTTTTGATGAAACTTTTATTACACTGTTTATGAGTTCAATATTACGTACAACATTTAATACACAAGTTAAATAAAACCAAGTATGGTATATGTGATATCCAGTCAGCATATTTATAGGTTTCCACCATAGAAACTTTTTCAAGTCAATAGCGAGAGCCCCTCGTATATCTTAATATTTTTATCTGATCTTAATAAACAACCACTTGGCCGCAGGTTTGGTAACATATCGGTATAACTCGATGCTCGTTTTTTATGTATGCGAGTCCGTGGCGCTATACCTAAATTCACCACTTTTATCTAATTTTTCCGTTTTGCGACGGTATAGGAAAAATAATAAATTTCTTAAGACCCTTATTTTATTTCTACAGTTTTTCCAAATTTCCCATATACAAGCCTAATAAACAGTGATCCGCTACTGATATCATAACAAACGTCTCGGAAACAGGTATAACGCGTCATGGTCTTTTGTGTATACTTTCATTTCAGTGAATACGCGCTCAATTGCACATATACGGCCATTACAAATAATGACATACTTTTGTTATTAATAGAGGCATGCTTTCCATTAAGATTCATGTATTACAAAAATATAAAAATCAAACAGAGGCGGGCTAAGACCTTTTTCTCGCGGTATTCGGGAACTTCTGACTTTTTTTTCTCTTTTTAGTTCACAAAGCTTATGCTACCACTAATATTACAAAGTGCGGGCACCTTAAGGTGTAGAAGTGCTAACACTGGCTAGATATTGTCCACACAGCGGCAAGACACGTCCCACAACTCTCTAAGGCTCGCTTTTCTGAAGTATTATACATATCGTCGTAAATATCCAACCATGGTTATCCACTATTCCTGTCATTCTTCAATGTGTAAAATCACACATGTAGAAATGAGTTCTGTATTTCAAATTTTTATCTCTCCATTGGTGCCAGTATACAAAACCTCTTCTCATAATTACTTAAGCTGCTTGCTTGGATTTGAAATATGAGAGCATAATGGCCCTTTCAGACACCGGCATATTTATAATACACTGGTATGCGACCTCTGTGGGTCTTGCCTTATGCCTTTTAAATTACGTCCCTCATTTTTACAAGCGGCCTTTGTATCATCTGAATGATCCTTTACAAACTGATGACGTTTTAACGAGATGAGACAAGGTAAAAATCTGACATTTTATGATTTCTTGAGAGAACAGAATAATTGTTCGTTTAGTGATGTTGCTTTAGAAAATGTAGTATTGGGATCGTACTTTCCATTTTGGGATTTATGAACTCCTCTGACTCTAGATCGCAAAATACCTTCAAATTATGACTTTGATACGAGATCATTCGGGAAGTTCTTCCATGCCATGTCCTATAACTGCGCCATGGTTGTGGAGGTTAGGCTTCTATCAATTGTGACAAAAATAACCTTTATCTTTCCACTTTTGACAGTTTGGCATGAAAGGTACGGTCGTGTTCTAACGGTATCGAGAATGCAAATCAGGTCTTTGGCGGCATTAACAAATGATTTAAGTGAGCTCTCCTTGAACATGGAAAGTTCAAGATGTGTAGCAGAGTATTTTTGGCATCAAGATACAATATTGTACCATTTTAATGAAAAAAGGTAATATTGGGAGAAAGCCCGGTGCTACCTTCGCCTTTCTCGCTCAAATATGCCAATCATCTACAATAAGCACAACATTTTAGGCGTTAATATTTAGAACGGACTAAAAGATGTATAATAAATTAGTTAACGTAGAGATTCACAGATAAATACATCAAGATTGGCAGCCACCCACTTAATATTTAAGTTGAGAAATATCAGCAATTAAGAAATACAACCTAGGAAATAACTACATAGTCAATAGCGTGGTTTCTAAATGAATCACTATTTATCGCTATTTTATTACTAGACTAGCTGTTTATTTACATTCGACACGACGTATGCTCGACTACTGGATTCAAAAATTAATGCAAATTATATGCGGTACGATCTTATTGAACTGATCTGCATCAGGTGTGTTGGTACTTGCTTTTTGTATTTAACGCATAAGTATCATGCTAATTTCAGCGTCTCTCATTTGTAATTTATCACTTGTATTGGCCTTTACGATAATACATGAGCTTAATGTTAATCCAATCTTAGTGTACAACGATCCATTTTCTGAAGTGAACAAACTCGAACAAAAAAAATCGATAGGGAACTGACTAAAGCAACATGTCCGAGCAAAGTCGGTAGATGAAGTAAGACCAAAAAGAGGAACCTTATTTATGGAAGTTGCTCAAGGGTCAAGTTTAGGACCTATTCTGTCTTTATTGTACCTAAATAAATCAAGTGACATAGGACAAAACCATGTTGTGTATGCTGACATATTAACTATAAGCGATTTAGATAATAACAATTTGTCTCGATGTTAATAATGTAGAAACTTATTTATAAGATTTAGACCTTTACACGAAACAAAATGTCTACGGTTCCATAGCAATCAAAATAATATTTGTAATATCCAAATCACGGCCCAAAGCATGCATTTAAGTGAGAACAGTGAGATTTTCAAAAAAAAAGTAGTGAGAAAGTTGTGAGGAATAGTTAATTTTCTAAGAAATTAAATATCATAATGCCAAATTTAAACGGATAATAAAAAAATAATGTGTGAAAAAACTAGAATAACTCATATAATGGGTGATTTTTTTGCTAGTATCTTTTTGGCAACACTGTTTTTGGCAGATGACGCGTGAATTGTGTCTTGTGTCATTGTCAAACTTGTCCAGTTTAGTCTATAATTTAACCATGAATCGACTTACGAACGAACAACGCTTGCAAATTAGTGAATTTTACTATCAAAATTCATGCTCGGTTAAGAGAGTGCATCGAGCACTGCTTCCAATTTATAGGCAGTTTGGTCGGCCCACTGAGTGAGCTATTCGGAAGCTTGTGACTAAATTTCGAACCCAGTTTACATTATTGGACATTAAACCACCAACACGCAGACGTAGAGTGAGGACTGAAGAAAATATTGCAGCTGTATCCGCCAGTGTTAGTGATGACCGTGAAATGTCGATTCGCCGCCGTTCGCAGCAATTGGGCCACTATGTGGAAAATCTTGCGACAGGATTTGGGTGTAAAACCTTATAAGATACAGCTGGTGCAAGAATTGAAGCCACACGACCTCCCACAACGTTTCCAATTTGGTGAATGGGCGCTGGCAAAGTTGGAGGAAGATCCACATTTTTATCGAAAAATTGTGTTCAGCGACGAAGCTCATTTCTGGTTGAATGGGTAGGTTAACAAGCAAAATTGTCGCATCTGGAGTGAAGACCAGCCAGAAGCATTGCAAGAGCTACCAATGCATCCCGAAAAAATCACTGTTTGGTGTGGATTATGGGCCGGTGGCATCATCGGGCCGTAATTCTTCAAATACGACAATGGCCGGAACGTAACTTTGAATGGCGAGCGCTACCGTGCGATGATAACAATTTTTTTTGCCCAAAATGGAAGAGCTGGACTTGGCTGACATGTGGTTTCAACAAGACGGTGCGACATGCCACACCGCACACGAAACAATGGCCCTATTGAGAGGCGAGTTCGGTGAACAGTTTATCTCACGTTTGGGGCCCGTGAATTGGCCGCATAGATCGTGTGATTTAATACCGTTGGACTATTCCTTGTGGGGCCATGTTAAGGCTAATGTCTACAGGGATAAACCAGCAACGATTAACGCACTGGAAGCCAATATTGAAGCATTTATTCGTGAGATACCGGCCGATATGTTGGAGAGAGTGTGCCAAAATTGGACCTTGCGCATCGGCCATCTAAAGCGGAGCCGCGGCCAACATTTACATGAAATAATCTTTAAACATTAAATTATATCGACCGTTCTATCGACTCAAATAAAGATTTAATCGTTTTTTCGAATTTTTTGTGTTTTTTTTTGAAAATCTTTGATACTGTTTTATTGACGAAGGCAAAAATAGTCGATCATATACAGGGTGACTTCGAAGTTGAGTCATTTATTTTAACAGTGAGTAGATCTGATCAAAAGAAATGTTTTTTTCCTTTACCATTTTTCTGGTAAAATTAAAGTAACAAAGTTATAGCCCTTTGGAAGTTTGAGTACTGCCCTGTCTCAATAATAATAT